GCAGTCGGCTCGCTAGAGTCCATGGAGCGAAAGACGACGATGAAAATGATCGTTCTGTGCTGCGCTCTGCCAGACGTTAGATGCAAAAGAAATGGGGGGCTGCAGTGCCGTTGGGTGCTCGAACAACGCGAAAAAGGGGTTCAGGATGTACCGGTTCTCGCAAGGAAAAGAAAACCGCGCAAGGCACAAGATCTGGGAAACCAAACCAAGAAGGGCTGACTGGAAGCCGAGTTCTCGATTGTGCGAGGTAAGTTTATGATTAACGTATGATTAACGTAACAAAATGCTTGATTTTTCGACTTTCTCCTTACGCCAACAAAAGCGCGAACGGCAAAACCTACACGCGTATACATCGCATGTCAATGGGGACCCACTCGCCGGGAGGCACATCATGGCGGAAGCGGCGCCCGCTGAGTCCGCTAGACCTAGCGGGCCGTAAGCCCCTCCCACCCGCCGAACTCTCCCAGTATAAAAGGCTCTGGGTCAATCCAGCGGGCAACTTGGCCTTCCGGTTCTTTGAAACTGTGTAGGCATTAAAGCACGCTGTGATTCGACCTGCAGTTGAATCGCCGTCCAAGCAGGTAGTGCCTAAAGTAACGGACGAAATAAACCAGGGCCAGCATTTCTTTCCTGGTCACACTGTAGCGGCGTTCAGGCTTCGTGAGGGTATCGACTGCCATAGGCGATTACCCTTTCCTTCCCATCCTGTACTTGGGATAGTACCGCGCCGGTACTGTTTTCCCTTGCATCCGTGTTGAGGATAAAGGGTAGGTCGAAATTTGGAAACGCTAGAACTGGAGAGTTCGTGAGGCGCTGTTTCAGCTCTTCGAATGAGTCTTGGTACCGTGGTGTCCTGACGAATTGAACTTGTTCCTCCAACAATTTGTGAAGTGGGGCCGCGATGCCGGCAAGGTTTGCAACAAATTTCCGGTAGTACGAAGCAAGTCCTAAGAAAGAGCGAAGATTCTCGACGCTTTAAGGCTATGGCCACTTCGAGACCTTTTCTGTTTTCGTCTCGTCGGTTTCAATTCCAGTAGCCGAGATGTTGTGGCCCAAGTACAAAATGCTGTTGCAGAAGAAGCGGCACTTCGAAAGTTTCAACTTGAGACCTGCATCTCTCAACACCTTCAGAGCTTGTCGAAGGTGCATGACATGTTCGGCTTCCGTTTTGCTGAAGATGATAAGATCGTCGAGATAGCAGGGACAGAAGTAAAATTTTCCCACGATCATTTTCATCAACCGTTGAAACGTCGCGGGAGCGTTGCACAAGCCAAATGGAAGGACATCAAATTTGAAAAGTTTTTGATGTGTGGCAAATGCTGTTTTCTCTCGAGACCCTGTCGACATGTCCACCTGCAAATATCGTGACGCCATATCGATGGTGCTGAAATATTGAGCACCGTTCAGGGCTTCGGCAGTGTCGTCGATCTTAGGCAGTGGATATGCGTCCTTGTGTGTTACCTCGTTCAGCTGACGGTAATCTACACAGAAGCGCAAGCTTCCGTCCTTCTTTTTCACCAGAACGGCCGGCGCAGTCCATGGGCTCTTAGGACGAATTACTCCCGTGTGCATGGCATTTCATGCGTTTTCGCGGTCACAACTTTGTGGCGGTTCGAAGGTAAGCGGCGCGGAGCTTCTTTGACTGGGCCTGCTGCACCAGTGTCGATTGGATCCGTCAGAACTGACGTTCTCCCCAAGTCCCAATCACCTTGAGAAATCATATCCTCGAAGTCAAGAAGCGTACATTCGATGAGTTTTTGTTGATCACCCTGGAGGTGTTGTGATGCGGCAAGCTCATCTTCCAGCGAGGTGAATGTCCATTTCTTTTTTTTTTTCGTCGCAGAGCAGACGCTGTCTCGTGCCGTCTGGGCGTGCGTCTTGTCAAGTGGAGCAGCGGAGTACTCTCCTTCAGAGTGGTCAAAAGCGAGCAGGGTTCCGAGACTTGTAGACTTGAATAAGGTGAACAGCTTTTCGGAATGGTTGATGACATATACTGGTAGCTTACGGGGCACTGTCAAAGCACTCCAGGTGACTTCAGCATTCCTTTTCACGAGGAAATCCGGGCGAGGTTCGAGAAGCCCAGTACCAAACTCTGCCGTATTTGGTGAAATGGTCCCGAGAACGATGGTTGCGGTTCTCGGTGACAGGACCGACGTGACAGAAAGTTGAACTCTATGAGTGTGGGCACACGGGCTCTCTACTTGTTCTCGTTCGAGTTTTCTCTCGCTGAAGTCAACCCGGAATCGGTGTGTTATTAAAAAGTCCGGTCCCAGGACGAACTCATGTAGGATGCCGGGAATAACAATGACAGGATGGCTCACCGAGAGATCTGCAACCTCAATGTTTATGCTGCATGTTCCCCAAACTTCGAAGGCGGCGCCGCTAAGGCCAATGACTCCCTCTCGGTGAGTGAACTCGAGGTTGGGGTTGTCGCGCGAGAGCTCAAGCCACTTGTGGCCTCGTAAAATGGTCGCTGACAAACCGGAGTCAACAAGCATGTTCATGAAAATTCCGCCCACTTTTCCCTTCACTGTTATTTGGGGGCACGGAAGAATTATCTGATTTCCACGTTTTACAAACGCACGATTGTCACTTCGCTGTGGCGCACTCTGGTCAGAGTTTGCACATGATCTTGCGAGGTGGCCAGTACCGCCACACTGAAAACATCGTGGGCACCCCCTAGGAGTGTTTCCTCAGGAAAAGCTTTGGCCGTGCTCCAGGGGGTGACTTTGCGACTCGATGAAACTGTTCACTTTGGCGCGAAGGTCGGCTACGCTGCTTGTCAACGCCGCAACGGGATCGTCGGTGGGTCGTGTAGTGGCTTCTGAAGTGTTACCTACGGTGGCGCACAGTATCGGTGTCACCGTAGTCGCGGACAGTTGCCCGATGGATGTTAGCCTTGAGGCTATCTCAAGAGCTTTCTCAAATGTTGCAGGGTCAGCGGCGAAGACTTTGTCAGGCAGCTTGGATTGGAGATCCATAATGAACTGGTCCCGTATCATCAGGTCGCCCACCTGTAGTGGCATCTCTGGATAAACCAGTCCAAAGAGGTCCACAAGGTCGTAGGCGTAGACGTCCAGGGGGCTTCCGTGGGTTGATGACCGCGAGACCGAGACTGTGCCGCAGACACAGCACGAAGGCCCGCCGACGCCAAACCAAGTGTTAACGCCTTCACTAGTGCAGGAAATTGGCCTCGTCTCGGTCGGGAAGATGCTGAACGAAGCGGAAGGCCCCTCCTCGGAGGCGTGTCGGCAGATACTCCAACTTTCTGGCGTCGTCCCAACCGTTGGCCGCCGTGCAAGTGGAGAAGAGCTTTGCCCATGACTCAAGGCTTCCCCACCAGTGAAGATGTTTCGGAGAACGGGGTCACAGGTTCCGTGACCATACCATCGATGCCAGCAATTGTAACGTGATGGCCAAGAAGCGGCCGCGTTCAGTCTTAGGCTACCAATTTTATCTCGATCCGCCTTCCCCTGGCACGCGCTCCCAGAGGGCGCTTCTTCTTTTTCGCCGTGGCGATACCAGCGATCATCACACAAACACACACACACACACACACACACACACACACACACACACACACACACACACGCACAAACACGAATATCACAAGTTCGCCTAATTTACGTTGTTTTCTTTAAAGCGTAAACAAAAATAAACACATTTTTCGGAAATATTAGATGTGCACAGTGCCGGTAAAGTTGCTGTATTTTAGTCAAATGAGCACATACTTCACACAATTGCGGCTCCATTTGAGGACATACGACCAAAATATTACATTTCGAGTTCGGTTTTTCTTGTTGCCGACTATAATTTCTAAAAAAAAAGTAGCAAAAATGGTTTATTTGAGAAAATCGATTTGAAACTTTCAACTTTTGTTATTTCTTACAACGTTAACGTGAAATTTGGCGGAGAGGCTGGTCGACAGCTCATAATGGTATTATTATATCTATAATGGGCTTGCTTCGGGCTTTCTATAGAGCTAAATAACAACAATTTACCTTAAGTACAGACAAAGTAAGGATCTGTCAAAGTTGACGAAAATCGACCTGAACAACGAGTTGGACATTTTTTTTTAGAAAAAAGTACAATCTGTAGAACTATTTGAATGCATTGCGATATATTTATAGTACCTATTAAATCTGTAGAAAAAGTTAAAATGGTGTAGAAAACACTGTAGCGGCAGCAGAGAGTGTCGAACACATGACCTGCGACGGCAGGCAAAAATACTAGTTTCTGCCAATGCGGCTTCTACGCTTCGTAACTCGAGAACAAAAAATCTGGGCAAAGGGAGCGCTAACACAAAAAATTGCCGATGTCGTATACGCGCTAACTGTGTCACGCAGCGATTGCTCGAGATTGTTAGCACGAAGATAACATTAGCGCTGTTTCGTATTTTCTTTTCAAAAGACAATGGCGGGCTCCAGATTTGAGCCCATTTGCTAAAGTTTCAAATAAGCAGTCCGCACCACGGCAGTAATTTAGACAGCAAAAACGGCGAGCGTTTGTGTTCGCTAACAGTCTTGGGCGATGCACGTTCTATAGCGTAACGTTGCCAGCCAATCGACAATGATGCTTCTCTCGCTGCCCGTCGTCATCACAAAGTTCGTTCAACGCTATGAACGTTTATATTATGGGTGCATTTCACCACCACACCCTTTCACGGTCAGAGTGCACTGTGCAGCAGGAAGTCCTACACCCTTTTAACACAATTTCTATTCCTGGATGGTATACGAAGGGTGTATGAAGGGCGTTATGGTAATCTACCCTTGTTTCAGCCTTTGTAACTGTCATGTAGTGACATTGTATATTCGTTGTTATCGCTATCAGCACCTATCACCAACGCAAGCCGCGTTCGCTTATCATAACATGCGCAGAGTATATAAACGCTCACACGGAAATAAACCGTTGTTCTGTTCCGACCGCGCTGTCTGAAGGATCTATTACATTGGCGACGAGGCGGATCGACGGACGAGCGAGTCCCGGTCGAGTAGGGCAAGATGTCGGTCGGCAGGATTGGCGAATATCGTCTCGGCACGAATGCGTCCTGGGATGAATACGTCGAACGGCTAGAGATGTTCTGCGCTGCAAACAAGATAACCACGGACGAGCAAAAACGAGCGGTTCTGCTGAGTTGTTGCGGCGAGGACACTTACGGGCTAGTCGTGACCTTGGTCAAGCCAGCAAGACCGAAGGGGGCGAGCTACGACGACATCAAGGGGGCGGTGCGGAAGCACATGCATCCAAGGCCTTCGGAGCTGTACGCAAGATTCTTATTCTACCGAAGAAACCAAGCTCACGGTGAGGCGGCATCGGAGTATGTTACGGCACTCCGCAAGCTGGCTGAAGACTGCGGTTTCGGTGATAAACAGCTTCCACTGGACGTCATGATGAGGGTCCGGTTCGTATGCGGCATCAAGAACGAAGCGGTTCAACAGCGGCTGCTCGCAGAACGTGACCTTACGTTCGAGGTGGCGTACGACATGACGCTGACGGCGGAAGCAACGGAGAAGCAGCAGCGCGATATACGCAAGCAAGCTCAAGACGGAACCAAAGAAAGCGAGGGTCTGGTTTAAGCGACACGCATGAAACTGGACACCAAGGCGGACGACGTCAGCTGCTTCCGCTGCAACGGTAAGCACGCTCCGCATGTATGCCGTTTTAGGAAGGCTGCTTGTTTCAAATGCAAAAAGGTTGGACACGTGGCAAACGCATGTCGTTCAAAAGACGAGAATCAGACGCCGCGGAAGCCAACTGACCTGCGCAAGCGGGAGGGGAAAAACAAGGGCGTCTATGAAATGAGCGCATTGTTTTCTGTATGCGAAGTGCGTGAACAGGCTGAAACGTTCATGGTAGAAGTGCACATTCAAGGGCAGAAAGTTCCGATGGAAGTCGATTCAGGAGCATCTTGCTCGATTGTGAGTGAAGAGACGTTTCGGTTGATCGAGAAGAATCAAGGCAAGATACCGCTGCAAGAAGCCGGCACAAAGCTTGTAACCTGGTCGAATGAATCATTGTCCGTGGTGGGTCGGGCAAACGTAGAAGTGAAATTCAAAGGCTGTAGAGCAGAGCTACCTTTGTTAGTAGTAAAGAAGCGTGGTAACAGTTTACTCGGACGTAGCTGGTTTGAGTCGCTGGGCATCCGTTTGAGTGGAAGTCAGCAGATCAAGGTGGAGGACGTGACATCGCGTTTTGCTGAGGTTTTCGGCAGTGACCTGCCTAGACTCAACGGAACGCCAGTTCACATAGAACTTCGAGAGGACGCTCGCCCGGTGTTTCTCAAGAGTCGTCCTGTCCCGCTGGCCCTCAAGGACGACGTGGCCAAGGAAGTGGATCGCCTGGTGCAACAAGGCGTCTGGGAGCCGGTTGAGTACTCAAACTGGGCGACACCGCTGATAGTGGTGAGGAAAAAAAAACGGAACCTTGTGTTTATGTTGGTATTACCGTACTACCGTTAACAAGGCTATTAAAAGCAGCGGATATCCTTTGCCCACGACCGCGGAAATGCTAGCGACGTTGGGGTCGAGTAAAATTTTTGCCAAGCTCGACTTAACTCAGGCGTATCAACAGCTCAGCCTAGACGATGAATCAGCAGAAATGATGACCATCAACACGATTAAATTGCTATGCAAGGCCCGCGGCTGCCGTTTGGAATCTCGGTGGCGCCGTGGGTGTTTCAGCGAGTCATCGACACGTTATTGACGGGCATTTCGGGGGTGAAGGCTAATCTCGATGATATCTTGATATCGGGAAGCAACGCAGACGAACACTCGGAAATGCTTGCAGCCGTGCTGGCGCGTCTGCAAAGCGCGCAGCTAAGAGTAAACAAAGAAAAGTGGGAATTCAGTCAAGCAAGCATTGAATTCCTGGGACATAGAATCGATTCCACAGGTATCCACCCGAGCCAGAGCAAGACTGACGCCATTCAGCAAGCGCCACCGCCGACAAGCAGGAAGCAGCTTCAAGCTTTCTTGGGGTTGTTAAATTTCTACGCCAGTTTCCTCAAGGGGAAGACAGAAGTGGCGGAACCCCTTAATCGGCTGTTGGACCACGAGCAAGAATGGAAATGGACAGGGGAGCACCAGCGGGCGTTCGAAAAGCTGAAGAAGTTGCTTAGCTCGGAGGCAGTACTTGTTCCCTATGACCCCAAGCGGCCTTTCGTTTTGTGCTGCGACGCGTCGCTTGTCGGAGTAGGGGCCGTGCTGGCGCATAGGGCTGATGACGGGAAAGAACAACCTATAGCGTACGCGTCACGAACTCTCGGTGCTAGTTGTAGAGGGCGCAACCCTCGTGTACGTGATTGCCGCAGGCAACCCTGTGCCACCGCGGGGGCGGCTTCGTGTGTTATTTTCGACAGACTAAAAGTCACTTGTTGTTCTGGCACGAGAGAGTTCGCACGAACCTTCTTCTGGCCCGGCATGGCCTCCACATGGTGTCAGAAGTGCCAAACGTTATGCCTAACGAAGTATTCCTCGCCTCCGCATGAATCGTCTCCGCCGTAACTGCGTAGTTCGCTCGCCCGTCGCCCGGCTTTCGACCGCCGGGTTCCTGCTCGCTGCCGTCCTGCTCGCTGCCATGCCTGACGACGAAGGAAACGGCGCCAAGCTTTCATGGCAAGGTCTTTCTCTGCATCAGCCCGACCGCTTCGACTTCGAGAACGCCGGTTCCTGGCCGACGTGGCTAAGCCTTTTCGAGGACTACGCCTTCGCTTCCAGTCTTCGACAGGTGTCGGGAGAAGTTCAGGTCCGCACACTTCTTTATTGCATGGGGCCGGAAGCTCGTCCTCTTCTTGCGACGTTCAACCTCGGCGACGCTCCTGCGGACTACAACGTGGTCGTAGAGAAGTTTACGGCCCATTTCATTCACCCCCTCAATGAGGTGTACGAGTCGGCGCAGTTTCACCGGCGTGTCCAGCAGCCGGGGGAAACGGTGGACAGCTACTATGCGGAACTCTGCAAGCTCTGCAAGAGATGCAACTACCCGTCACCCGAGGTCGTGGAACGCCTTGTCCGCGACCGCTTCATCGTAGGCTTACGCGACGCTCGCCTCGCCGACCAGCTCTGCCGCAACCCCAAGTTAACCCTCAAAGAAGCATGGGTGCTGGCGAGACAAGCAGAAGACGCCCAAAAGCAGAAAGACCAGCTCGCAGGCCACGACACGCAGTCTCGACCGGTGAGCCTCGACGCTGCCAAGTCTCGGCAGCCACAAGCGGGACGCGTCAAGTACAGTTCAGCACGCGACAAGCGCACCTCAAGCTCTAGCTCGTGCGGCTACTGCGGCCGCGCTTCACACGTTCGCTCGGAATGCCCCGCCCGCAGCTCGTTGTGCAACCACTGCAAGAAAAAAGGCCATTTCGCGGACGTCTGCCGTTCCCGGAAGAAACGGTCGACCCAGGTGGCAGAGTTGGGTTTGCACGCTGTTCGCAACTCCGACCAAGGCAAGTTCGTGGAAGTAACTGTCAACGACTACACGGAAGTGTTCAAGGTTGACTCGGGAGTCGAAGTTTCAGCCGTCTCGAACACCTTCCCCAACCTGCTGCCGTCCCTCGACAAGGTGGACGACACTCTCTTCGGGCCAGGGCAGCAGCCACTCAACGTTCTTGGGTCCTTCATGGCCACTTTGCTGTGGAGAGGCAAGTCAACCCAGCAAAGACTATATGTGGTAAAATCTCTCTCCGTGCCTCTTTTGGGCTTTCCAGCCATTCAGGCACTTCAAGTCGTCAAATTCGTCGACGGCGTCTCATCGAAAGAAAAGGACCCTCCTACCGTCAAAGTCTCTTCTCAGACTTGTGACAAGCTGTTTAATGGCCTCGGATCTCTCTCTGAAGAATACAAGATCCACGTCCAGCCAGACGCTGTTCCATTTTCTCTTAGCGTGGCAAGGCGCATCCCCATTCCGTTGCGGGAAGTCGTCCGCAAGGAACTGCGGAAGATGGAACAAGAAGGTGTCATTCGCAGAGTTGACACGCCAACACCATGGTGCGCCGGACTGGTGGTCGTCCTCAAAGCCACTGGGGGCCACAGGCTCTGCGTGGACCTTACGAAGTTAAACCGGGTGGTCCTGCGAGAACGCCACATCCTTCCCACGGTCGACCAGGTCCTGGGCCTGCTGGGAGACGCAACGGTGTTCAAGTTGGACGCTAAATCAGGCTTCTACCAGGTGAAGTTGGCGGAAGAATCGCAAGAACTCACCACATTTATCACACCTTTCGGACGCTACTGCTTCCGTCGGATGCCCTTCGGCATCACCTCTGCGCCCGAATTTTTCCAGAAGCTGATGTCCAGGATTTTGGAAGGCCTGGAAGGCACTGTGTGCATGATAGACGATATACTCGTCTTCGGACGCACTCTCGAAGAACACGACTCCCGCCTGCAGCAAGTCCTGATGCGACTATCCCGCGCAGGCATCACTTTGAACGAGAAGTGCTGCTTCCGCCAGAGCGAGGCTTCCTTCCTGGGGGTGATGGTATCTGCAAGGGGCATCCGTCCTGACCCAAGCAAGCTCCAAGCGATCAAGGAGATGAGTGCGCCAACTGACATTGCAGGTGCAAGACGCCTCCTTGGCATGGTGAACCACCTCGGGCGTTTCCTTCCGCACGTTTCGGACGTTGCAGCTCCTATCCGAGCGCTCCTCAGCAAGAATGCTGCGTGGAACTGGTCCCACGAACAAGAAACAGCATTCACGAAGCTCAAGCTGATGCTCGTCTCGGACCGCTGTATGGCGAAGTATCATCCGGCGTACCCAACAGTCGTCTCAGCGGATGCCAGTTTATTTGGCTTGGGGGCAGTTCTTCTACAAACTCAGCCTTCCGGCGAAAGAAGACCGGTTGCTTTTGCGTCGAGGTCTCTTACAGCGACTGAATTACGTTATGGCCAAACGGAGAAGGAAGCCCTGGCAGCTGTATGGGCTATTCAACGGTTCGACGAGTTTCTCCGTGGGTTGGCCTTCGACGTAGAGACAGATCACCTGCCTCTGGTCTCACTGTTTGGCAAGATGGACCTGGACGTGGTACCTCCACGTATCCAGCGCCTTCGACTGAAGGTGATGCGATACCAGTTCACAATGTCATATGTCCCTGGGAAGCTTCTCGCAACAGCGGACACCCTGTCTCGTATGCCAACGGAACCTGCCGATTCGTCTCGTCCTGTAGACACAATCGAAGTGTTTGCTGCGGAAGTCCTTCAGACCTCATCAGAAGCAGCATCTCTACAGCTGGAGAACCTTCGAACTGCTCAAGCAAGCGACGGGGAGTGTCGCGCACTCGCGTCGATGTGCCACAACGGGTTCCCTCCGAAGTCTAAGTTACCGCTTCACCTGACGAAGTATGCAAGCGTGTTGGACGAACTTTCGGTTTGTGATGGTTTACTCCTGAAAGGCACTCGCATTGTGGTACCAGCAGTGCAACGTGCGACAGCGCTGACTTTGATTCATGAAGGTCACCAAGGCATTAACAGATGCAAGGCTCGGGCCCGGGAATCAGTATGGTGGCCAAGTATCAACGCTGATATAGCAGCACTCGTGGCACAATGCGAACAGTGCACGTCGTACCGAGACAATCCAGCAGAGCCACTTCGGA